TTTTATTGATTTGAGAGAGGGGAAGGTAGAGGGAGAGAGAAACATCGATGAGAAAGAACCATCAATCACCTGCCTCCTGCACACCCCCTACTGGGGATTGAGTCCACAACCCAGGCATGTGCCCTGACCCGGAATCTAGCTGATAACCTCTGGGTGCGTGGGACAACACTCAACCAACAGACACACTGGCCAGAGCCGTTCCCCATACTTCCCTTCAGCGCCTTCAGATTGTCCCAGAGGGCCATCCAGAAGGGTCTGAGCGGCTGTATGTTTGCTGGACCCTGACCAGAGTACCGTGAGAGGAACCTACTGGGATGGTTTGTGCTTTGACAAGCCCTGGCTCCTGAATACCAATTAGAGGGGAAATAAGGATGTGAAATAGTGCTGCGTGGCTCCCGGTGGCCTCCGGGCAGTGCTACAGCCATCGCCGCAGACGTGGCAGGTGGGCACTATACTGGGTTTACTCATCCTGCGTTCCACTGGCATCCAGGCCAATGGGCCACTACTGGGCCAAGGCGTGTGGGTGAGCCCAGCAAGAGGACCGCCTTGGGGAAGACCCACCGAGGCTTGAACTGAACCCCAATTTCCAAAGCCCTGCTGCATGAGCACATCGTCCACCCAGGGGGAGCCAGGGCCATGTGCATCCCCTTCCATTTTAGCTGCTGGGCAGCTGAGGCTGGCTAGGGGAACAGGTTTAGGGGACAGGAAGAGGCAGCCAAGGCAGTCAGTGCACAGTTCCCTTTCCCCAAAGAGACTCACAATTTTGTTGTTTCTGTTGAAATTCCTTTGGTCAAAGTAAAGGAACAGTGCAGCCGGAGTTGCTCAGTGTTGAGTGTCCACGCTGGCACCAAGAGGATTTCCGGGCGGGGCACATGCCCAGGTTGCAGGCTTGATCCCTAGTAGGGGGCGTGCAGGAGGCAGCTGTTCTGTTTCTCTATCATTGATGTTTCTACCTCCCTTCTCCCTCTCCCTCTCTCTCTCAATATCAATAAAAACATTAAAAAAGAGAAAAAAGTAAGGGAACCAGCCATACTATAGAGATTTCTGGGGGTATATCTGATAGCAGGTCCTACCTTGCTGCATCATCACCATGGTTTGTTACTGTCCCCCCGAGAATTTCCAACACTGTGCTCCTGACATAATGGCAATTTCCAAAGCCCTGCTGCATGAGCACATCGTCCACCCAGGGGGAGCCAGGGCCATGTGCATCCCCTTCCATTCTAGCTGCTGGGCAGCTGAGGCTGGCTAGGGGAACAGGGGACAGGAAGAGGCAGCCAAGGCAGGCATCAGTGCACAGTTCCCTTTCCCCAAAGAGACTCACAATTTTGTTGTTTCTGTTGAAATTCCTTTGGTCAAAGTAAAGGAACAGTGCAGCCGGAGTTGCTCAGTGTTGAGTGTCCACGCTGGCACCAAGAGGATTTCCGGGCGGGGCACATGCCCAGGTTGCAGGCTTGATCCCTAGTAGGGGGCGTGCAGGAGGCAGCTGTTCTGTTTCTCTATCATTGATGTTTCTACCTCCCTTCTCCCTCTCCCTCTCTAAATATCAATAAAAACATTAAAAAGAGAAAAAAGTAAGGGAACCAGCCATACTATAGAGATTTCTGGGGGTATATCTGATAGCAGGTCCTACCTTGCTGCATCATCACCATGGTTTGTTACTGTCCCCCCGAGAATTTCCAACACTGTGCCTCTCAATATCAATAAAAACATTAAAAAAGAGAAAAAAGTAAGGGAACCAGCCATACTATAGAGATTTCTGGGGGTATATCTGATAGCAGGTCCTACCTTGCTGCATCATCACCATGGTTTGTTACTGTCCCCCCGAGAATTTCCAACACTGTGCTCCTGACATAATGGCATCCCTGTTAGAGTGCCAGCGGCTGCTGATGGACAATGGGCACTTGTCCCCGTCAGGAAATGTTCTCATTGGGCAAAGTGGTGAAACCCTGAGAGGAAGTTGAATGTGACCACCAACCACTGTCCCCCAGGGAAGCTTGTGTTCAGAAGTTGGCATTGATTTTATTTCCTGTTCTTTTAAAAATGCCTTCTTGAGAAATCACTTACATACCATGCAGTTCCCCCACCCACAGTGGACAGGTCAGTGATTTTCAGTGTATTCAGAGTCACCACAGTCAATTTTAGGACATTTTCACCCCAAAGGACATCTGTAGCTGTCACCCTCCCAGTCCCTGGCGACCACTGAGCTTTCTGTCTACAGATTCCCTGATTGGACTTTGAAATAATTGGGGTCGTACAGTGTAGTGTTCTGTGTCTGGCTTCCTTCACTCAGCACGTTTTCAGCATTCGTCCACGTGGCATGTGTCAGATCTCATTTCCCCAGTGGCTGGATGACATTCCATTGTGGAGATGGGCCACGCGTTTGTTTATTCATTTGTCCACAGGGATTGCCCCTCATCCTTTCCCTGCCCCTGGTTACTGGGAATAACGCCGCTGCGAGCGCTCGCGCACAGGTTTCTGTGTGGTCTTGCTGCGTGTCTCGCTGTGTTTCTAGGAGTGGAGTTGCTGGGCCAGGAGGTAGGAGGTGACCATGTTTAGTGTGAAGAAATGCCAGACTGTCACATGGCCACACCAGTTTATGTTCCCACCCTGGGGTTGGGGATCCCTCTCCAGGTGTGACCTGCTCATGGGCGCAGCCTCACGTGAGCACTTGCTGGTGCCCCTTAACCTGTAAGCCTGTGGCGTGGCCGCCACAGGACACAGCTGGCCAGAGCCCTGGTGGTCCAGCAGAGCCCTCTGCTCGCCCACAGGGGTCACCCCTGTGTAGGGATGCACACTGAGGAGGCCCGCCCCTGGCTCCTCCCATCTCTGCCCCAACCTGGTCCCTCTTAGGACCCCATGAGGTGACTCTTCTCAGGAGACTTGGCTCAACCAAGTGTGTGACCTTGGGCCTGCAACCACTCTGAATCTTCACTTACCAGTAAAATGGGAATAATGGGGCTGTGATGAGGGTTGAGTTGCTTTCCTTTTTGAAACTATCTCAAACTCACAGGAAAGTTGCAAGTACAGAGAGCTTCCCACCCCTCCCCCAACTGTTTGAGAGTGTGTGCTGCCTTGATGTGCATCACCCCAAAGACTTTAGGGTGTTTCCTACCACAATGACATATTGTTAACCACAGAACCGCCATCAAGTCAGAATAGCACAAGCCCCTCCTTGACGCTTCACCCACAGGCCTGTTCAGGGGCCCTTTTCGGCCAGTCCTTCCTCTCCTAGGAGTGGGTCTCCTGTCTTTAGTCCCCGCCATCTGGACCAGTTCCTCTGTCTTTGACATTTGAGACCAGATAGCGGTTCCATCTCAGGCCATGATGCAGCACCCCCTGCTGTGGGCCTCTGAAGGTACCCTTGTCTGCACGCGAGGACTCCTCTTGGCCAGGGGCACAACAAAGTGATGAGGGCCCCGGGTCCTGCCTGGGCTGCGTCCTGCAGAGGGTCTTGGGGAAGTGGTAGAGTGGTGGTTTGGGGTAGTTTCTCATCAGTTTTTCATTTAGTCATTGACCTACATCATGGCTGTGGTTTCTTGTTTCTTCAGTGGGTTACAATCCATTACTGTCACTACTTGACTACTCGGGTTGTACCAGTTTGGCCATGGGAGACTTCAGGTTGGCTCTGTTTCTGTAAGCCCTGAGCATTCCTTGCTTTTATTAGGGTAAGAAGCTCAGGCCCATCTAGACTCCAGTCTGGAGCCAGGCTGACCACTTTGATTCCACAGGGAGCAGCTGGACCCCGGCTACATGGGAGGGGGGTCTCATTAGAGAGGGGCGGGGAGGTGGGGAAGGTCCTGTGTGCTGGGAAGGGAGTGAACCAGGTGGTTTTGGACCCGACCCCCAGTAGTTGGTTGGAGGGTGGAACTGGGGACAGTCCTGCCAGCAGCCCCAGTTTGGGTACTCAGACCAATGTTTTGGGGAGCGCCAACTTTTTCACAAACTGCCTTACAAAAATAGCCTCTTAATTACTTAGGACCAGGCAGCAGGAGACTGTCCCCTCATCCTTGGCTGGAAGTTAAATGGCAGCAAGACTCAAGACCCAGCCTCCAGGTGGTCCAAGTTGAGGCCTGGATTATGGAGGCAGCAGGGGAGGGGCAGATAAAGGAGAGACACCGCTCCCCATTCAGTGCCCTGCGCCAGCTGGAGGAGGAGGTGCCCTCGTGGGAATCCATGTCAGGTGGCCAGCTTCAGCCCGAGTGCAAGGACCCAGGCAGGGGGCCCAGTGCCATCTGAGTCCTCCAGGTCCCAGCCCGCAGTCCGGAAGGACCAGTTAAATCTCCGATGGGAACCTTGCCCAGTGGACTTTCATACTGCGAAAAGAACAGGCCAGTCAGCTGACCTGCTGGGTCAGGCTTGGCGACTAGATTGTAATGGGCCACTTGGCCTGTAAACCGGGCCGGATGTATTTCCCACACTGGCTTGGCTGGAAGAGCTGTATCCGGAGGTGCCACGTCCCCTCCCGCAGCAGCGTCGGGGGAGTTCGGAGGGTTCCCTCTGAGATCCGGCCTCTGGCGCTAGGGTTTCATTTGGCACCGGCTCCTGAGCTGTTTCTTTGCCTTGAGCTGGCTGGTGACTAGCCAGGCATGTCCACTCAGGTTGTGTTGCAGATTGTCTGTTCCCACAGAACCGCGTGTGGGCGTGTTTGCAAATGAACACACAGTGACATCGCTGCCTGTCTACCCGTTCGTCCACCTCTCTAGCTGCCCACCTACTCACCTATTCTCTCTTCTTACCTGTCATTCATCGATCGTCTCTGCCTACCTGCTTATCACTGTCCACCTCCCCCTCCCCCCACACCGCCTCCTCTTCTTCACCTTAGAGAAGAGGTAACTAAATGAGAACCGTGGTAACTCTATCTTCAAAGTAGCCCATCCCCCCCCCCAAC